GTGTGGGTCCCAGACCAACACCCACACCCTCAGTCACTCCCCCCCCCTCACTCCTAGACTCACGTTTCAGTTTGAAATCAAGTATTATTTTTATTTGATAAATTCAGACTGAAATTAAATAGCCCATAGTATGTGAAACTGACAGGATCTTGAGCCAAAAGCATTGGCATACTGATCAGGACCCTGAATCGAATCCTGCCAGCGTTTTGGAGTTCCATAACAATACACTTCTTTCACGATTTTATCAAGGACTTTTCCTAACGGACGCCATTTGGCAATACCTCGTCGTAAAGGAGCCAAACTTTTTAAACTTGCGTTTCAGCTGCAGTGATCAAAGCAATGTGCTATATCATTTTTTCATAGGAATATAATTATCACTGGAAGAGGAATATCCCTCGTTCCGTTAATGAGAAGAGACCTTTTATATCCCTATTGAGTTGCGAGAGCTTCCACACAGTCTCTCTCAGTTTTACATCGACTTTTTTTCTGGCGACATTTAACTATGATAGTTTTGCAGCTCTGATCAAGTTGTACAGAAATTTGTAGTTAGACTTTCATTCGACTCATGAGCTAACCATAGCGGAGCAGGCTCAAAAGTTGATTTTACCAAAAAGATAGTCTCAAAATCTAGCTGTTTTACTCTCCATAATTTCTCTTCCGAAATTTCGAGTTCATCGTAAAATATAGCATAAAAAGTTGCCCATTTAAAATAATTTTCGAATATAGACTTGTAGCACTCATTTTTTGAAGAGGCTAGTGAATTCGTAAAAAAAGCGACACTCGATACTGAAATCGAAGGAGAAGAATAAAGCAGAAAGGTTTCAAGGCCAATTGTCGATAAAATTGACTTTTGAGTTTGCTTTGTTGCAGTTAATGTATGAGTCAAATGAAAATCAAACATAAAATACTACACGACTTGATAAGGACTAGAGGTCTAGCATACTAAAATCTTGTCAGAAGAAAATAGAAGTAAATCTGAGAGTAATCAAAACATTGTATACATGCTTTTATCTTTTTCCTGAATTGATTTTACGACTAAATGAAAAAACTACAAAGATTGCACTTTAATAAATAAAAGATAAAACCTGAAATTTGAAAAATATTGACCCATAGTGGCCGGATGTTGCCCGATGGCAGCATAAAGCCATTAGGCACCTCAGCAGTTCTTTGTTCCGATAAATTCACCTTTGCTATCTCCCTTGATATCGAAAAATGTTAATGACGTATTCATTACGGATAAGAAATATAAAAGATATAGACTTGTGAGGTTTTAGCTTCATTTTCTTAACATATGGAATACTATCAATAAAAATAAGTGCAGCAATGAAAAAAGATTTGATAACAAAAAGGATAGGAAGAATAAAATATATAAAACAGAGAGGGGTACAGGACAACGTCCTTTTTCCTGTCTTCTGTCCAACTCTGATACGGAAGCATGTTAGCAGTGAATTTCGATTTCGACACATGGGTGACGCAACAGCAAGCAACGAGTTAACAATTGCTTCCCATATTTTTCATGTTTCATCAGTATGTTATTTCTCTATGTTTTCTGAACTTTTCAGTATCACGTAACTTAAATTTTTACT